TTTTTTTTTTTTTTTTTTTAAATGTTTTCTGTTTCTGGTTTCTAATAAAGCCATCGTTTTTGTAAGCGCCTGGGTGCGTGTGGGGGGGGGTGCAGCCCCTGCCCCGGGGCTGGCGGTCCCCATCCCAGACGAGGCTGGTGATGTGCCCCGGAGGCTCCCAGGCACCGGGGTCTCCACGACCTCCCTGGGCTTTGGGGGTGTCGCGTGGGGGGAGCACTGTTTTGGGGGAGCTGCGTGTGTGTGTGAGCGTGTAGGTGCACCAGGTTGGGTTTTGGGCAGCCAGGCTGCCGCCGAGCCCTGGCTTTCCTGTGCTTCCCAGCGTTGCATTCACCCCATCCCATGCCCCGTGGGGCCGGGCTGGGGCACGGGCATCCTCCCGCCTGCCGGGTTGGATCCAGCCCAGCAGAGAGCCACCCTACGGCCACCCCTGTCGGGTGGTGGAACAGGGACAAGCAAGGGTGGCACGCTTGCCGTCGCCCACCCGTCCCAACCCCCTGTGCCACTCGAGCCTGGGGACAGCGTCCCCGCCGTGGTGCCCCCCACCCCTGCTGCTGCCCGTCCTGCCGGTGCTTGGGGGGGGGGCTCCTGGCACCCACTGCGGGCTGGCACGCCATGCACCGGCTGCTCTTGGGGGGGCTCGGTAGAGCAAATGCGGGTGCAGCCTCAGCACCTGCCAGGCTGGAGGCCGCGGGAGGTGTTGGGGTGTCATTTGTCATGGCAGCTTGTTCACCCCCCCGGGAACTCGCTGCTGCAGGACACCGGGTTTGGAAAGAGCAATCCTTGCGCCTGCAGAGCTTGCGCCGTGCTGCGTCGCACCCGCGCCCGTCGGGAATCCCTGGCTGAGCCATCCCCGTGGCAAAGCCACGTCCCGGGCCGTCTCCCTGCCAACACCAGGCTCCAGCCCCGTGGCAGGCAGCTCCTCCGGCACTCTGGCACCCCCGGACTCCCCTCCGGTAGGGACGGGCGTGCGTCCCGGTGCACCCCGCCGCGCGCCTCCCCCAGCTCCTGCAATCGTGGCCCTGCCCGGCGCTCTCAGCTATATTTAGCCCTCCCCCGTGCTATTTCGCCTGCCTGGCAGGAGTTTATAACTGGCCGGGACAGCCCCACCTCCTTTCTGCTTTCTCTCCCTTCCCTTCCCTTTCTTTTCCCCTTTTTTCCCCCCCTCTCTTCTCCTTTCCACCCCGGCCGCCGCTTTGCACCCGGCTGCTCTTCCACCCCTGCCCGAACCCCCATGCTGGCAGCGCCGAGCTCTGCCTGCTGCCGGCTTGGTTTTGCTCCACCGGCCACCGAAGCCCGGCGAGCGGCGAGCCGCCGGCATGGGGCCCGCTGAGGAGCTGGTCCGGATTGCCAAGAAATTGGATAAGATGGTGGCCAGGAAGAGCACGGTAAGGCGGCTGAGCCCCTCAGGGCGGGTGTGCACGCGTGTGCAAATTTGCACACGTGCATGTTTGCACGTGTGTGCGTGTTTGCATGCATGTGCGTGTTTGCATGCATGTGCATGTTTACACACATGTGCATGCATGTTTGGGCGTCGCAGCGTGGCTCGGGACAGGGGAGGGAGGGAAAGGGGGGGGTTTTGCTCTGCACCCCCCTTCCTGTTGCTCGCTGTCCCGGAGGGGCTGAGCGGGTGCAGGGGGTGCTGAGCACCCACAGGTGCCACCAGCACCCCGGGGTGCTGCCCACGCCGCTCCAGCCCAGCCTCGTGACGTCGGAGCCCAGCACCTGGGGGTATTTTATTTTGCCTCCAATTTGGGGCTCTCCTGCACCCCATCACTCCTGGCTGTTGGCATCTGGGGGCAAGGGGGTTCTGT